TGCGGAAGTCTTCCTATTGGCCTACAAGAGTTTCTAGCCCTAACCCTGACACCTCTACTTTCCCTTGCCTCTCTGATCGTTGATCTCCTACTTCTCTGCTCCTTCCACACAGCCTTCTTGACTGTTTCTCAAACACCTCAGTGCCTTTGCACTTGCTATTCCTCTCTGCTCAGAATGCTCTTACTCTCAGACAGCCATTTGACTTACTCCCTCACTTCCTCCAGCCTCTGCTCAAATGTCACCTCTTGAGATAGTCCTTCCAGACCTCTCCATCTAAAATAGTACCCCCCCCATCATTCTCTATCCCCTTATTCTGCTTAATTTTTCTCCCCAGGCCCTACCACTTCTTGACACATAATGTCTCCATTTACAGACAAGTCTCCTCCCTAGTCTGGAAGCTCCACGAGGCAGGTCTTTGTTTAGTTTGCTGTTGTGCCGAAGAGTCTAGGTGCTCAGTAAGTATTTGTTCAATGGATGAATGCATTACCCTATCAAGGGCCCCCCAGGTCTCTGAAACAAACCCTTACTGCAAACAACCTGCCATGTTCTTTTCCATCTCCTAGCCTTGCTCATGCTGAGTCCTCTTCCTCAAGCCCCTCCCTCTCTTCCAGTGTTCAAGACCAAGCTCAGGCAGAGCCTCTCTTAGGAAAGCTCCCTGCCAGTCCCCAGGCCAGTTCCTCAACATTCTAGCTCCTTCCAGTTAGCTTCTAGATGCTAAACTCTTTGAGTATCTTGACTCCCAGGCAGCCTGGGGTGCCTCCACCCCACTGCAGGGCAGCATGTGTAGCCTGAGAGATCACAGATGGAAGGGGGGGGCAAGTCCCTATACAGGGAGAGGGGGCTGGGGACAGGATTAGCAGCAGCCTCCCCGCCTCCCAAACCCCAGCTGGTCCCGGAAACGTGGGGCTGGAAAATGTCAGACTCAACTCTAGTCTGTCCCCCAGCCCTCCCTCTCTGGGTGGACTCATTCCTAGACCACATTCCCCCCAACAGTCCAGGGCCATTAGTAAGGAGTTGGGGGGAGTGGAGAATAAACAGTGGAAAGGGACAGCCCTTCTGCCTGTCCTCCCCCACCCCACCCTCCTCCTACTGGGTGACAAGACATGTAATTATAGATATTTGGTATCACTCAGAATTCCAAGTGTCCTAATCACCTCCTCCCTTTCCCCCCAGAACCAGTTTCCATGGAAAAATTACAGCAAAAAGCCAAAGAGGGGAAGGAGAGAACCCACCCCTGTGGGTTCCCTGCCAAGGAGAGACAGAGAAGGGTGACTGGAAGAACTGCCACCCGCCTGGCCTTCATCAGCAAGGCAGGGCGCTGGCTGGGCAAGGGGGCTTGAGGGAGGTGACTACTGGGGAGTGGAGAGGAGCAAGGCCAGGCCAGGGGTCTGGTACTCGGGCCTGGCTCTGCCCAACCTTGCTGTGTGGCCTGAGACCCAGCATTCTCCCCTTCCGGGTTTCAAATTTCTTCCCATCCCAACTCCAGGCACTAATGCATTAAATAACCTGATGAATGAAAGGTTCGGGCTGTGGGGACGTGCAAGTGACACTTCCCCAAGTGTCCCCTGACTTGTCTCCCCTACTCAGCCGGCGGGCCGATTCCCTTGGGACCCTTCCCCTTTAAGACATGGATATGGCAGGATTCAGGTGAATCTAACAGTCAGCAAGTCTAAGTCAGCACTGTGAGATACCCATGTACAGCTCTCACACTGGAAGAATGAAACGGTGTCTGGCATATACTAAGCACTCAGTAGGTGTGAGCTGTTGTTACTGCTATTCCAATATGCTAAAGTTCTGTGAGTTCATCTACATACAGTTCAGAAACACTTGCTGTTCTGGACTACAGTTGGGGCACATGTCAAATGGGTTAATCAGGTATCCAAGGGCAGAAGGTTGGACTACAAGATTCCGTCCTTTAAGGCTGGGGTGGGGGAAGCCCTGGCACAAAGGGTTGCTGATTAGCCAGGCTATTGTGGGCCTAACTGGAAGTAACAAGGGGTGTGGGAGGGGCGGGGCAGGGAGTCCCAGGTAGCTCTGCTTCCTCATCTCCAGGCACATACACAAGCAAGTGTTCTCGCAATAAATGACCCTCAAGCAAGCCCTCAGTCCCTGCACTCCTAGGTTCTTACAGCTATGGCAGACAGCTGTCTTTTTCTCCCTTCCAGACACACCCCTAGCTCCTGCCACTCCCCTTGACTACCCTGCAGGCTGAGTCCTTCCCGCAGAGCCTCCATGGCCAGGCAGTCTAATCTCTCCCTGAGCAGATGGGAAAATTGAGGGCCAAAGATGAATCTGTTCAGGTCTCAGAGTAAGACAGAGGCCGAGCTAGGCTGGTACCCAGGGCTCCTGCCTCCCAACAGTGGGGAAACACCACATAGAGCATGAACACTGGCTCTGACGGGCGAGGCCTGAGTGTGAGTGACTGCCCACAGCTTGGGGTTAGGCCAGGGATCCCCTAAGCTCCCTGGGCTTCTCCTGTCAGCCCCTGCTGGGTTCTGCCCATAAGCAAAGAGTGATAGCTCCTCTCTTCTCCTCTTATTCTGGAGCCTACACCACACCATCTCCACCCACAGCCCAGGGACTGTGACTGGAGCCCCAGGCCCAGAACAAGGGAACATTGTGTCCTCAATGGAGGCCAGCAGGAGGGAGTGGACAGCTGCTCCCCCTCTTTCTGGAGCCAGAAGGAAGGAGACAGTAGGAAAAAGTCAAGCTAGCAGGTGGGAGAACTTCCAGACTTTACAAAGGGGTGGGAAGTTAGGGGATGGTGAATCTTTTTCTGAGTCTGTTGAAGTCCACCAGGTTATACTGAGGCCCCTACGGACTCAGCCCTGTGCTCAGAAACCAGCAGTGGGGACAGGGAGAAGGAGCTGAGCCTGGTCACTGAGAAGCAGCTGGGACAATGCAACCTGTTTCTTTCCTCTCTCCTGCTCCCAGAGAGGGAATGATCATACCACCCACTCACCCTACAAGAGCCTGCCAGGCAGAGACCATCACCCCCTTTTTACAGAAGGGGAAAGTGAGGCATAAACAGGGATGTGGTGGATCCTAGGACACATGGAGACCTGCAGCCAAAGCTGTAACCCTGCTTTTCTAATTGCAGACTCACCAGTTCCTACCCCAAGGAGTAGGAGAGGGCATCAGGCTAGGCCTGGAAAAGTGGGAGGACTGGTATGGCAAAGGCTTGAAGGCAGAGAAAATCTCTGTTCAGGGCAAGGAAAAGCCTGTATTATGGCAGATTTGTCCCACCTCAGAGCCCCTCCTCCCACCATGGGGGAGGGCGGTTATGTGAAGGGAGGTGGGGCAGGAGCCAGTTCTGAAAACTCCCACCTCTTCTCTGTGCCTCAACGCCTCCTCTTAGGAGCACCCCTTCACTCATCCCCCCAGTCTCCCTGAGTCCCATGGTTCACTCTGGCCCTAGCTGAACCTTCAAGGCTCCCAGAGGAGATAATTATATGGGAAAGGACCCCTGGCAGGGCCGCCCTGCTCTTTTCCTCCCCTGCCCCACCTTCCAAAGGCAGAACTGGCGCTGGAACTTAGGGACACCTGAGCTGCCCTAACAGGGTCTCAGAAGGAAGGACAGGTCCAAAAATCCCCTCTCCCTACTCCCTGCCTGCTGCCTCTCTGCAGTCTCCATGAGAAACACCAGCCAGGACCAGGGGGAACCAGAGACGAGGAGAGAGAAACAAAGAGAAAGGGAACTCAGAGGAGCTATTAGAGTGTTGGGCATGGGAGTAACCAAATTAGTCCAGGGTTTAGGGTTTCCAGGCTTTTCACACAGGGAACACAAGTGGGAGTACAGGACGCAGCTGAAATAACCCCAGGCCATCCCTGAGCTCAGGCCAGAACCCAGAGCCTAGAATCTAGCTTCCAACCCAGATGCCAGGACATATTCTGCCTAGACTGAATCTGAACCAACAGCCGAAACGCTAGGGACAGCTGAAGCCAGAAAGTAGAAGTAGGTGTCTTGTGGGGAGTGAGCCTCGGGGCCAGGATCTGGCAGAAAGGGAAGCGCTTTCTCTACCAAAAAGGGGGTAGAGTGGGGAAAAGACGCAAGCAGGCAAGCTGAGGGGCCAGGTCTCCCAACATGGGCCACAGAGGCAGCCCTGCCTATGGAGTCCAGAACCATTCCCAGTCTCTCACAATCCAATCCCGACTCTGCCCTCCCCTGGAAGCCCCCATCTAGAAGCTCTCCAGTCTGAAGAGGCTCTGTCAGAACTCAGGCCCCAAGAGTGCCCCAACTCAAACCCACAGACTCCCCTAAATCTGCACAGTACCAGCTAGATGGAAACACTGGCACCCTTGTCCATACTCCACCCTGATTTACAGATAGGGGGAATAATAAGTCACGGAGAAAGGTCAATGTTACACAACAGGGATGGACTGGGGTTAGATCCATAAGGCCTCTCCACTACTCCATCAAGAAACGCCTTATACCTCCCCAGTTTTCCCAGGCCCAGGAACAGACCTACATTCTGACCTGTCATAGGAAAGCCACACAAGGAAGAGCAAACCCAGGGCAGCTGTGGGCCCCGACCCAAGCATCCTACAAAGGGTCTGGCCGACAGGGCCGCTGTGGGCCCCCGAGCCAAGCATCCTACAAAGGATCTGGCCCACAGAGCAGCAAGGCTCTGAGAAGGGTCTGAGCTTGTGCCATCATATTCTCACAGCTCCAACAAAGAACCACATGGGAATCTCCAAAACCAGTCCCTGAGAAACAACCAAAGAACAAGATAAGAATTCTTTGTAATTGTCACCCAGAATGCCTAAAGCAGAGCCTTTGCCATTAGCACTAGGAGAAAAGTGAAGCCTCTGCAGGCCTGAGTAGACAGGAGCCCTGTGTCATTAACACTCTCGAAACTGCCTAGGCACTTCCAGGACCAGATAAGCACCCTTGGGACCTGGGCACCTGTTCAGTGAGTACACTACAAAAGCTCCTGCTTCAGTCAGTGCCCACGGCCCTCCTCTGGCCTCATCCTGAAGGTCCCCCATAAAGGACTCACCACCTGCGGCTTGCTGCAGCACTTGCTGGCTGGGGCAGGCTCATCTGGAGGCCGGGCTGCCTCAGGGGGTTTGGCCTCAGCAGAGGGTGGTGCAACCAGAGGCAAGCGGGGCACGTCCACGGGCACTGGGGCAGGGATCTCGCCTGAGTGGAGGGTCAGCATGTATTGCTTGGTGACGTCCTCAAGTGATGGTGCCTGCAATACGGGATGGGCTCGGGCAGGGAAGCCCATGGGCTCTGGCACAGCCACAGGGGGGCCGACAGAGGTCGGTGGCTCGGGCACCGCAATAGGTGTGAAGGTGGCAGGCACACTGGCATGGCGGACGTGTTTGGAGGAGGGCTGGGCTCGAGACAGGCAGTCAGTCTGGTCCTGATTGCTCTCTTCTCTCCTCAGCTCCTGGTGACTACTCCGAGCTGGGCGCTTCTTAGAGCCTCGGCGGATGAGCTGCGGGGACAGGACGTCAGCCAGCTTGGGGTCAAGGTGAAAGTCTCGGCGGGCAGTGGAAGAGGCAGGCAGGGCCTCAGGCAGGGCCCTCTCAGACTGCGCCCGGCCCCTGGAAGGACTGAGTTCTTCTGGCTCTGCCCGCTGCTCTGCAAGGATGGGCTCACTGCTGGATGGAAGCAACAAGGGCTCGACTTCTCGGATGGGCTCCCCTCCAGGGCCCTCGAATCCAGGCCCAGCCAGCTCCCCACGGCGACTGGGGTCGCTCAGAGATTTCTTCTTGGGAGCTTTGCCAGAAACTCTGTCGTCTGCCACACGCCCCAAGGCCCCAGGCCCCTGAACTATGCTCTGAATAACCTCCCGATATCCCTTGCTCTCTTCACTGCCCACAGACCAGTCACTGTGACCGCTGGTCAAGCCCTCATCCAGAGCGGGTGTCGCTGGCAGTCCTGTCTTGGGGCCCAGTGAGCCCAGGAGATTGCTGTCCACAGAGAACCCAGAGGGCTCCTCAGAGGTGGCAGCCCGGTGACGTTGGGGAATTGGGTCACTCAGGGACCTGAAGGCCTCCCCTGCCTCTCCATTGCTCAGTTCAGTTCCATTAGGGCCTGAAGTTGGGACTTTGCGTCGCCGGCGGAGGGCACCTGGTGTGGAAGGGGTTTCAGGGGACACCAGGGCCCACCCGCCCAGATTGTCTTCAGTCCCTGGGCCACGGTGGTTCGTCTGGGCTGAGGATGAGGAGAGGGGTCGCCATACTCCTGTGGTACCCAGGCTGCAAAAGGCTGCCACAGGAAGCTCAGGGTCTGTCCCAATGCCCTCATCTGTCAGACTGGACTCAGGGCCTGAGAGCTCCTCCTGGGACCGCTGGCCTTGGGTCATGTTCCCTGACCAGTCAGGGCTTCCAGGGGGGACATCACTTCCATCATCCTGCTGGGCACCCATGCGCTGGATCTTCTCAAACACCTGACGGGCCTCCTGCACATACTGATCCTGGACAACGAGGGGCAGTGGATCCTCCTCCACCCCAGGGCCTGCCAGCAGGAGCTCAGAGGAGCTGGGCTTCAGGGCACTGGTGCGGGGCAGGCGGCGGGCCGTGGGCTTCTCAGAGCAGGTAAATGACTTTGCCCTCCGCAGGGTGGCCGTCAAGTCCTTGAGTGTAGGGCGGGTGCTGGGTGATGCTGGGGCTGGGGCAGGCATGGGCCCAAGTTGCCCCACGGGGCCACCTGCTGATGGTGAGTCTCTGCCATCTAGGGGGCTGCTCCCACGGTGCCCGGGTCCCCCACCAGGCTTTCGGACCCTCAGCTCTGAGAGGTCTGAACGCAGGAAACTGAGCAGCGTCAATGTCTCTGAGGCAATATCGGGATTGGACAGGGACTTCCGCTGCCTGCTCTTGTCCAGCTCCAACGCTCCATCCCTCAACGCTCTGGCGGCGACCACAGGTCCCTTGGCACGGGTTCGAGCCTGGGGCCGCAAGAGCCCTTCCCCAGCTCCAAAGCTAGGAGAGCGGTACAGGCCCCAGCTGCCAGAACCGCGGCTAGACCACAGGTCGTCGTCTTTGAGGGTCTCGGTGCTGGAATAACGACTGCTACCGCGGGAGCCTGCCGGGCTGGCCAGGTATGCAGGAAAGCTCACCTTGGCCACACGGAAAGCTCCTCCCACAGTGTCGGACAGGGGTCGCAGTGCCTCCTGGGGACCTGGGATGCAGGGCGGAGAACCAGTACCCCACTCCCGGAGTCCTTCCTCTCTAGGGGCTCCTGGGGATGTTGGGGGCTCGGGGCTCCTGGATCCCCCTGCTGAGTTCATGCTGCTCAGATTTAACCCATCACTGTCAGGCCTGCAGTCATGAGCCAATAGGGAGCTTCCAGGCCTGAGCCCCGGCCTCCCTCCCCAGCGGTGGCCGCCCTCACCGTCTTGGTCCTCGTCACTGCCCGAGGAGTGGCCGCCGTGGTAGGCCGGACTCTGCGCCCCGGGCGGCTGTGGCAGGCCCTCCTCTTCCTCCTCGCTGGAGCTGGCAGCCCGGCTGCGGCTCACAGGATAGGAGGAGGCGATGGAGGAGGAGGAGGAGCAGGAGGCCCGGGCCCCGGCCTGCGGTTGGGAGAAGCTATGCCAAGAATGTAAACCATCCGCCGGACGCTGCGCCCGCTCCTGCTGCTGCTGCTGCGGCCGGCTGCGCCTCCCCTCGGTCCTCGGCCCGGGCAGGGGCCGCGGCGAGCGCAGACCCGCCAGGGGGAAGCAAGTCCGAGGAGGCG